AAAAAAGATAAGGACGATGACGAAGAAGATGATGGTGATGAGCACCGTGATGATGATGATGATGATGATGATGATATAGGATGCTCCATGTCAACTGCGCGGGATCTAGCTAGGCCAAGTGACATCGTGTGAAAGCCAGCGACCTTGTTCTGACTCGCTTTCCAATCCCAATGATTCGAAAGTGAGATTTTGATGGAAGTGGAGAGGATTGGGTCTGCTTGCAAAATATGTTATGTTAAATGTTGTTAAGGATCAGAATCAGACAACATGATTTGATATGGGCCACGAGAGAGGCATTGGAAGATTCCTGTCCACTTCCACGACTGGCAAAAGGCAAAGATGCAACCGATCGCAGTCAATCCGACGGCTGGCACGACTTCGAGCAAGAAATCAGCTTGCAGTTGCCATCTTTCGCCAGGTGCTTCGAGCTCGACCCATTTTGACCCATTTTGAGCCCTAATCTTTTGTGGGTTGTGGGGTCCCTCAGAGGTGGATTACATATACTTCATACACCTTGAAAACCCGCATGCAAATTGACGGTGAGACTGTGAAGGCCCCTGTGCGTGTGCCAGTGCCGTTTTTTTGCAGAAAGACACCACACCACCACGGGAAAGCAGGGGCCTCTACAGTCCATGCTCCATGTCAACTCCGCGGGATCTGGCGAAGCCAAGTGACATCTTGTGAGAGTCAGACTCGCTTCCTAGTCCGAATGGTTCGAAAGTGAGAGGGCCACGAGAAAGGCTTTGGAAGATTCCTGTCCATTTCCATGACAGGACAAAGGCAAAGATGAAACCGATCGCATTCAATCCGACAGCTGGCCGCGCGACAAAAATAGCGCCGGCGCGGAAAGTGCCGAATTTATTGGGTTTGTGTGAAATATAGCTAATCCGGTGCTCTGGAGCGAGTCTGATCAACTCCTGCACGACTCGGGGCAAGCAAACAGAACTTCCCCTCCTACTAAGGCTCGGGGGATGGTAGGGTGCCTGAGATCAGATTCCTGAATTCCTTCTGGGAATACACCCTGGGTTCAAAGCAAAGGAACTTCCATAATTTCAGGTTTTCGACAAATAAGCCCGACTTAGGGCCATATAGGATGCTTCATGTCAACTCCGCGGGATCTAGCTAGGCCAAGTGACATCGTGTGAAAGCCAGCGACCCTTGTTCTGACTCGCTTCCCAATCCCAACGATTCGAAAGTGAGAGTTTGATGGAAGTGGAGAGGATTGGGTCTGCTTGCAAAATATTTTATATTTCATGAGGACTGGGGGCCTAGGCCTTCGACCGTGTCACAAGGAGATAAGGACAGCGGCGACGACCACCACGCCGATGATGATGATGATGATGATGATGATGATGATGATGATGATGTTGAATCTTCGGTTATGCTCATTTACCAGCCAGCCTTGAACTTGTAACCGCCCTTCCCGTACGCCTCCCCCTTTGTGGAGAAGGGGTCGGCGGATATACATAGTCATATATATATATTTACATAGGGAGACCTAAAATTGAGGACAAGCGTATGTCGAGAATCATCAGTATGTGCAAAATGTGCAATAAAGGTTCCCCCCTGTGTGAAAATAGCTCTACACGATGCCAAGAAGCCACCCAGAATGAGTGGCCGCGAGTTTTCTCCTAGTCCTGAGGAAATGTTCGCTCTGAACTGTTAGGGTCAACCCGAGCCAGGTGAATAGGCTTCTTGCGAAATTTGGCGGTGCCCAGAATGAAAGCTGAGAAGGTTTGGGAAGCTTCTGGGTGACAACGGCTGTCATGCGTCGAGCATGGCTGCCCCTGGAAGAGGTTTGAAGCAAGACTGCAGGCATGAAACGGGATGTAGCAATTGAAGCTGTATATCATATGGGTATGGGTCAAAATTACACCAGCAGGATATGGACCGCAGGTTGTAGGCCATGTTTCCATTTACCAGGGTTCCATTTTGGGTACATATTTTTGACCCACAGCCATATCATAGCCTTTGCTTAAGTCACTTGCACCCCCCAATGGTGGAATCCCCATAGGTGGTGCGGCCATCAAGTGGGGCGAAGAATCGTTTGATCATAAGAGTGCCAAAGAACTGAGGGACCTTTGCCTTGACATGGGGTTGAACATGTGTGACAGGTGAAGCCAATCCCCGCCTGCACAGATCACCCTGGAACCGACAGTGCTCTCCGACAAAGAAGCGTGGTGGGCATCTTCTCACCATTCGTTTGATCATGTTCTGACCAAAGTGGTTTCCGTTTGGGCGGGTGCTAAAAGTTATGTTTTAAGTTGGCGAAATGGGTGGCAGGTCCTTTCAAGCACAAGGCGTCCTCTGAAAACAACATGCAAAGCAAGAAGCCGTTGTTGATGGCAAACTCCCTGAAGGCGTCTAGCGCCAGTTCCCCATCAGCCATCTCCCTCTCTCTCTCTGTCTCTCTCTCTCTTTCAGAAGCAGGAGATGCCGCCCATGGTGACGTGCAAGATGGGTGACTACCAGCACAGCTTCGTGTTTCACTTGTTGGATGAGGTGGTGGCGCAGAGTTGGCTGCCGCGGGCCCAGGTGAACCACCGCTGGGAGATTGAGGAACCGGCTACGGAGTGCCACTTCGGATACAAGCGCCTGGGCGAATGGCGTGTATAGCGTTGGTTTTGTTTGTGGTGTTTTGGCCAACTTCTTTGTTGAGAGGATGTAAAAGGGGCGTGACAGATTGATTGGACCTCGTTGAGCTACAGACAATTCCATGGTTGCCTTAGCTATTCGCTCGCGAGTTATAGCAAGCTCACTATGGGGTGCGACCTCACAAATATCCTATTTTGGTGGCCCGGATGTTGCGGTGGACTATTCTTACGGCGGATGTTGAGGTAGTATCCATACGATGGAGGTGTTGTTGACAATTGACCGGGCAGCCAAGGACAGGAAGAGACCCTTCAGCCCACCCAAAAAGAGAGCCGCCCGTCAAAAGTAAGAAACATTTGAATACCCATGATGGCCATAAACCGCTTCCCTATGGGGAAGTGGCAGAAAGGGTAGCCCTCACCAAGTGAACCGTAGAGTACCAATGTTTTCGTCCGTTGGTCACCGTTGGTTATGTTCCCCTGCTCCTTGGGCCAGTAATCAAGACACAAAAAGTAGCACTACCAAACCACATTGCACAAGCGCACGCACGCGAGCAGACACACACACACACATTGACATACGCACATACATAACAAGTATGTGTTGCTTTTTGTACATGCGTGGATCATCACCAATCCTAGTGGTTACCATTACCATACCAAGGAACACATGAGAACTCAAGCAGAAGTGGTGAGGACCCTTCTTGTTCAGGTGTGTGTAGCGAAAAAGAGGGGCGCTGCTTGTTGGGTTGGTTTCAAAGGGATGCCAAGAGAGAAAGTTACCAATTTGGCGGAGGTTCCCCATTTTTGAGACTCAGCCTCCGCCACAAGATATAGGTGTTAGTATAAACAAAGAGGAATCCAGCATCGCCATGGAGGTAGATACCCACACGTGGATATGGCTATGTCTCGAAATACGGGACCCAACAAATGCGGTTGGCTTTTGCTTTCTTTTGAAACCAACCCAAAGGGTGCCCTCAAAAACACCAGCCCAGGGTAATCCCCAAATTGGGGTCACCTCAATCTACCATATATCAGGTACTTCCTAGGTTTAGATTGGTAGTTTGGTTTGAGCTCCTGGTTCTTGTGGACATCTAACCACTGGCCTCACCAGGCTCCACCAGGCTCCGTGGGAAGCAAAATCGACCTGATCTCAGGTGGGTGGCGCTGTCCGACTGGGGCCCTTGTTTAGGAGAGGGCGCGCTGCTGTGCTCCTGGCTCAAGGCGATGGTGTTTCAGCCGTCTCCTTTTGGTGTCCATCTTTCATGCGCTACCGAAGTGACGGTGGCTAAAGCAGTCGCCTTTTGATGTCCATTTTCATGCGCTACCGAAGTCAAGGTGGTTGAAGCAGTCGCGTTTTGGTGTCCATCTTTCATGCGCTACCGAAGTGCAGGTGGTTGAAGCAGTTGCCTTGTGGTGTCCATTTTCATGCGCTACCAAAGTGAAGGCGGTTGAAGCAGTCGCGTTTTGATGTACATGTTCATGCGCTACCGAAGTGAATGTGGCTGAAGCAGTCGCCTTTTGGTGTCTATTTGCATGCGCTACCAAAGTGAAGGCGGTTGAAGCAGTCGCCTTTTGATGTCCATTTTCATGCGCTACCAAAGTGAAGGTGGTTAAAGCAGTCACCTTTTGGTGTCCATCTTCATGCGCTACCAAAGTGAAGGCGGTTGAAGCAGTCGCCTTTTGATGTCCATTTTCATGCGCTACCAAAGTGAAGGTGGTTAAAGCAGTCACCTTTTGGTGTCCATTTTCATGCGCTACCCAAGTGAAGGCGGTTGAAGCAGTCGCCTTTTGATGTCCATTTTCATGCGCTACCGAAGTAAAGGTGGCCATTTTCATGCGCTACCCAAGTGAAGGCGGTTGAAGCAGTCGCCTTTTGATGTCCATTTTCATGCGCTACCGAAGTGAAGGTGGTTGAAGCAGTCGCGTTTTGGTGTCCATCTTTCGCGCGCTACCGAAGTGAAGGTGGCTGAAGCAGTTGCCTTTTGGTGTTTCATGCACTACCAAAGTGAAGGCGGTTGAAGCAGTCGCCTTTTGATGTCCATTTTCATGCGCTACCAAAGTGAAGGTGGCTGAAGCAGTCGCCTTTTGGTGTCCAATCTTATGCGCTACCAAAGTAAAGGTGGTTGAAGCAGTCGCCTTTTGATGTCCATTTTCATGAGCTACCAAAGTGAAGGTGGTTGAAGCAGTCGCCTTTTGGTGTCCATTTTCATGCGCTACCGAAGTGAAGGTGGCTAAAGCAGTCGCCTTTTGATGTCCATTTTCATGCGCTACCGAAGTCAAGGTGGTTGAAGCAGTCGCGTTTTGATGTCCATTTTCATGCGAAACCGAAGTGAAGGTGGCTGAAGCAGTTGCCTTTTGGTGTTTCATGCACTACCAAAGTGAAGGTGGTTAAGGCACTCGCCTTTTGATGTCCATTTTGATGCGAAACCGAAGTGAAGGTGGTTGAAGCAGTCGCGTTTTGGTGTCCATCTTTGATGCGCTACCGAAGTGAAGGTAATTGAAGCAGTCGCCTTTTGGTGTCCATTTTCATGCGAAGCCGAGTTACCAAATTGAAGGTGGTTCGCTTCCAAAGTGAAGGTGGTTGAAGCACTCGCCTTTTGGTGTCCATCTTTTATGCGCTACCAAAGTGAAGGTGGTAGAAGCAGTCGCCTTTTGGTTTCATGTGCACGCCCTGCTACCAAAGTGACGCAGCCCGGCAGGGCCTCTTCCACAACCGGCGCGGCGAGTTCATGTCGCAGGTGGCGAAGCTGGTGCCGACCCTCGGAGACAAGATCGAGGCGGGATGGTTTTTTAAGCGGCCTGGGGTCTGTCTGCTTTTCAGGCCACCGTTTGGTTGTTTTCCCATCCAATGTGGTTGGTATTAATCGGAAAACTCTGGGGTTTGACCGCAGCCTCGTTTCGTTTTGGTTCAAATCTGACTTCCATTCAATGTGGTGGGTGTTTCTTGGAGACGAAATGGGTTTGACTGAAGCCAAATTTCCCACTGGTTTCAAACGGACCGCGTGCTTTGACTTGACTGCTATTGGGTTGGATCTTCAGACTTGAACTTTTTGGTTGAAATAAATGTGTTTTCCACTAAACCCCAAAACATCTAAAAACAAAATGAAAAAAAAAGAAAATGCAGGGGGTCAGCAGAAACCAAGTTGAGGTGTCGCTGAAGCGGTTCAACCGCACGGAGTCCTCGGAGTTCAGGGACTTCCGGGCGCCGCAGCCGGTGCCGCGGCCCGCGGTGCCCAGCAAACCCCCCGAGGCGTGGGTGGCGTGGGGCTGCGCGCAGGGCGCGCGTTCCAGTCGCTCGGGCGCTCGGCGCGAGGCGTTGCTTGGGGGTTGGGGGTTGGAAGCCACTGCGAAACCGAAGAAAAGGTTTAATTAAGAGAACAAGAGAGAGAGAGAGACCGAGAGAGAGAGAGAGAGGCAGGGATAGTTAGAGAGAGAGAGAGTCGGAAGCCAAAGGAAGGCAAAAAGCCAAAACGCAAAGCTGGATCCCCAGAATCCCCCGCCCATTTTGAGCCAAACTGTCCGCCGGCGAGTCAGCGAGTGCCAGGAGCTCCGGGCGTGGCTGGCCCACGTCTTCCATGGCTTCGCCCATTTGCCGGACGACGACTCTTCCAAGCGCGAGGAAAGAGACGTCTCTGTTTTTTGGGGAGTACCCCGTTTCGGGGGGGCCTTTGTGTTGATGTTTGAAACGGAAGCCAAAAACAAAGCCAGAAAGTCAAGTTGTGTGTGGGGGTGTGCGTTTTCAGGGCACCCTTTGTTGGGTTTACAGAAGCCAGAAAGACAACTGGGTCCGCCTATTTTCATATTTTCACACCCTCCTGACACACGCGCAGGCAATTGGCGGATGCAATTGGCACCTGAAGAGCCCAAAGCTTCCAAAGGAAACCAGGACCACATGTTCCCTCCCAGCTTTCCATGCCTGAGGTTTGCTATAAGCTTCGCTGCCCTCCCCACTGGGTCCACATACCCTTTGGAGGAAATTTGTCCTTCAGGTATCTCAAAGGTGCTAGATCAGTGGGAGGGAGGGGATATGATGGCTTGAACGTCACCTTTTGGTTGGCAAGGCCAACTGAGTTTGTTTTTGTTTTTTTTACAGGGTGATGCTTATGTCGCCCGTTTGTTGGTGGCGTGCGAGGAGCCTTAATTTTGCGACTTGTACGGATATGATCATGTTCTACCTTGGAAGAAAGGGAAGCTACGCGAGGCTGCCTTTTTCTATCCCCCATCAGGCAGTCTCCGCTCGTGGGTGGACCCTTTCACTGGAACCATCCACTACAGGGCCTGACGGTTCGTTAAGAACGCCGAAGGATATATACACCTAATAGTAGCCTCATTAAGTTTCTATAGTGTTTGTCTTCAATGGAACTTTCGCAGAGCGCTCATATTGTGCAGGCAACTTGCGCGAAGCAACTTGCACAGAACACTTGCGCAGAGCCTTGCGCAGAGCATTTACGAGAAGCAACTTGCAACTAATATCTTGCACACAGACGTTGCACAGGGCAACTTGCATAAAGCAACACGCGCGAGCACTCCCAGAGATCGACATGCAAGCTTGCGCAGAGCAACTTACGCAGAGCACACGTGCACAGACAGTGCCACAACACCAACTTGCGCGAACCACCTCGCGCGGAGCATTCGAAAAGAGCCAATCAAAAAGAGCTACCTACACAGAGAAGTTGCACAGAGCAACTTGCCGGCAGCATGTTGCAGCGCGAAGCTGCTTGCCAAGCGGCACTTGCACAGAACCTATGGAGCACTCTCACTTGTTGTTGTTGTTTTTTTGGGGGGGGGGTTGTTGTCATCGTGGTGAGAAGGCGGGGCTTGGCAAAACATGGCGGCAACGTGCTTTCGGGCCAATCGCGCCCCCTAAGTGCTGTGGTGTTCTGTTTCATAAGCTCACGAAAAAGCTCCCCCCAATCATCATCAGTGTTTCGGACTTGGCCACTTGTTTGTTATTGATTCTTGTTTGTTTAGTTTTTCTAAAAACAAGTCTTCTTCCCCGGTTTTTTGCGGAGGAGCTGGTGGCGTCCCTGTGCTGCCGCTGGGCGGTGGAGTGTGAGGAGGTCACCTCCCTGCCCGAGAAGTGCCTCGCACCCAGCCAGGCAGCCCCGCACGCCGAGGGCGGCGCGAGCGGCGGGAGCTTTCTGTGCTTCCACGGCACCTCCCAGGCGGAGATGCGGGGGACGTGGCTTTTGGATTTGGGCCAGGGCTGGCTCGTGATGTAGGGGGAGTCGAGAGGAAGGGGGAGTCATTGAAGGGAGGGAGGAGGCAAAATTGGATCAGAGTTCGGCAGGGGGGGTTATTTGAGGCACTTGGTAGGAAGGCTTGAAACGAAACGCGGATTCAAGTCATGAGGCGGGGGTATGATAGTTTGAAGCCGTTTTGTCCAATTATCGGACATTTATTTGGCATGACCTGTGGAATGGAAACTGAATGTTTGAACTTCCATTCGTTGACAGGCCTTCAAGTGCTGTCTTGTTTTGTTCTGGTCTCCTTTGCAAATGAAAAGAGACTGTCCAATGTTCCTCATTCCTTTTTTGACATTTGATCTTTGTGGAAAAGGCAGCTCCCCCACCAGCAAACCGCAGAGTATCTCACCTAAGGCCCTAACTTGCTTCGGGCGTTCCTCCTTAGTCTAGTCGGGATTGTAAGCCTGCAGAACAGGTTCGCGATTTTGGCAGAGGCTATCTATAATATGTTTGTTGCTTGATACATATGGGCGCGGCTCAAAATTGAAGGGCTGGGGTTACGCAGGTTTTTTGTGGTTGGTTCCGTGTACCAAGGTGCCATTTTGGTTTACTTTTATTTGAGCCACAGCCATATGAAGTAAGCCTCTACCAACATGAGAGCCATCTCAGATGAGCTCCCACCGATGTTTCAGACGTTTGATTCGTTTCAGTTCCCAGCCTGCGCCTTCCGCAGGTGGCATGCCGGCAGATCGCCCAAGATGGCTTCGACGCCTCCAGAAGGTCGGCCTCCCTGGGCAAGATCGTGCCGCGCCTTGGCGGCTGTCGAAGCTCCTTTCTTTATTAATATGTGTTTGTTTGTTTGTTTGTTTGTTTGTTGACTTGTTGACTTGTGGATTTGTTTGTTTGTTTGTTTGTTTGTTTGTTTGTTTGTTTGGTTGGTTGGTTGTTTTTTGATTTGTTGGTTGGTTGGTTGGTTGGTTTGTTTGTTGATTTGTTTGTTTGTTTATTTGTTGGTTTGTTTGTTTGTGTGTGGGCGTTTGCTTGTCTGTTGTATGTCTTTTTTTGTGAGTGTTTTGTGGCTGGTGAGGCATTTGTTTTGTTTTTTGTGTGGCTGCTTTGGTCTTTTGTCATGTGTTTTTGGGGTTTTTGTGTTGTGGTTGTTTTGGTTGTGTGGTTGTTTTTTTGTCATGTGCTTTTGTGTGGCTTGTTTGTTTGCTTGTTCCTTTCTGTTTGTGTTTTTGTTTTTTGTTTTTCTGTGTGTGTGTGTGTGTGTTGTTGTTTGTTGTTTGTTTTGAGGCGACCTCACATGTTTGCGTTCTCTTTGGACCTTGCTTGATTGTTCACTTTGGCCTTGCGGTGGTTTGAACCTTGTCTTTTTTTTGTGTACCCTGTGTTTGGTTAAGACTTGTTTTGGGCCTCTCTTGTCTTTGGTTCATCATGGTCATGTTGAAGCAAACTCACGGCGGAGTCGGTCGATTCTGCTCGTCCAGGTATTTGGTGGGCGAATATCTGTCCTCCGACCCAAAAGTGGCATTGAAGTATTCGCGGCAGAAGGAGATTGGCAAGGAGGGCTGGTACAAAATGCGTGTTATCCCCGCGACCCCGCGACCTTCAACGAGGTTGTTTAACGGACGTTGTTTCAAGGCGTGTTGGATATGTTTCCTAAAACTGGTGGTCTTTCTCATGTTACAACGGGTTGGACCGCACCTGGAAGGACACCCTCAGCATGCTGGTGGTCCAGGCGGGGTCCGTGTCTTCGTTTTAGCCAGACCTCCAGCGGTTGGCATTTCCCTCCAGTGGTTGGCATCGCCTGCCGTGGTTTTGACACCGTCGCATGGCCGCTGGAGTTGGGACACCGGGGTGTCGTGCTGACGCACATCCTTATGGACCACTGACCAGAGCCATATTTTTCCGTCTGACCCTGGGAATCTGGGGTGTCACCAGCACAAAACCAACAGATGGAGGTCAGCCCCGGGGGGCGCAAGCGAATGAATCAGATCGCCCTGGATTGGCTGCTTCGGAGTTGAATCCCCGAGGTCCCAGTTTAACACCAAACAGGAGGCTATCCCGTCGCCATCCAAAGCACCGCTTGGTGAAGTGAATGAAAGCTTGAAACCAGGCTGTGAACATTGTTGCAGCTAGGTCTCACAGTAGTGCCCTTTTACCCTTTCTTGGGGAAGGGCTCCCCTACTAGACTACAGAAAAAACGGGTACCCTTAGTCTAACTCTCTACTGGAGGACCTAGGCAGGTTAGGTTTGGCGTTCAGATCTGAGGCTAGGCTGGGTATGAGTCAGGTCCCAGAGTCGAACTTCGAGATGCGGAACGGCGTCTGGTTCCAGCGCAAGCTCGCGGAGCCTGCTGAGGAACCCAAAGATGGCGCCATACCCAGGCGCAAGAGATGTTTGTGCGTGTACTCGCTTTATACAATATAGTATCCCTATATGGTACCATATGTTTATCGGCCCCCTTTGTATCCCACCACTCGTAGGGATATGTTGTAATGAGGGTACCCTTTTCAGGTTGGTTTAGAGGGAAACCCCAGGCACCGGCCGCCCCCTCGGCACCGGCCCGCGCTTTTGTCCTACGTTCATTGTTCGACAGACCCGAGCCATGAGACTGACGTGCTTTGGGTCAAGGTGCTTGGTGAGATCTGACATCTTCGACCTTTGCACCGTTTTTTTTCTTGAGGCTACCCTAATTTTTGGTTGTTCGAAGGGACGCGCAAAGGAATCCAGCCACTTTTGGGCGTCCCCTCTTTTAAGACACAACTGCATTGGGTAGAACCAGGAGTGAAGGGTTGAATATGACCATGAGTGTGTCAGGGACAAGCGCTTCAAGTTGATGGTGCTGGCAAAACAACACATTGGTTTGTCAGTGCTTGAGGATCCAGCTAGCAACCAACAGAAACCATCATATGACAACAACTAAACAACTGAGTTAACCAAATATCAATGGTTACCAAGTGCTTTGTTGAGACCTGAGGTTCGACCATTTACCAAGTGATTTGTTGACCATCCATTGAATTCCAAGGTTGATTGTACCAGGTCTTTGGATTCAATATTTCTCCATTGACCAAGAAAGCATCCCATCCCCCCTGCCCCCATTCTGCTTACCACCTGGTTTACTAGGCAGCATAGCAAGGCCATATAAACCATGGTAAATGTGTGGGTAGCAACAGCAATCAGTTGGTTTTGGGCGCAGCTCAAGTGAGCCACGTTCGTTCGTTATTGTTGTCCAAGTTTGACATGGACATCTGGTGAATAACCCTCCCCATTTCCTGACACAAATGTGTCATTCCTTTTACCCCCGCACATTTCCCCCCCCCCCTCCGGGCATTTCCTGACCTACCCAAATGTGGGTATGGCTCAAAATTAAAAAGCTAGGGCTACGCATGTATTAGGCTTTGGTTCCATTTACCATCGTGCCATTTTGGTACCACTTTTTTGAGCCACAGCCATGTCCCCTGCACATGTTACCGAAACCATTGACCGTTGCTCAAGCGCTTTAGGCCAGATTTCGGCCAGAGCTCCACGCTGGTCTGCGCGGACGAGCGCGTGCTGGTGCCGCGGGCGATCTTGACGTTTCGGCCCTCCCGGTCGGTGCTGAAGTCGAGCTCGGCCATGGTGAACTACGACGTGGGGGTCACAGAGGCCTCCTTTAGACCTTTGGCCGACATAAGGCTGGTCAAAGTAGGAAAGCCGTGGTGCTTCTTTAGTTTCCTTTCCAAGCAAGGTGAAACCACACACACACACATATTGGTATGAGTGTTTTTAGGGTACCAATCTTGGTTGCTTTAAAAGTGAAAACCAAAGGCACATCTTGGTATGGATGTGTTGCAAAATAAGGAATTTGATTGCCTGTCGCTTTCGTTTCAAACCGACGTGGAAAACGGTCCCCCTCGAACAAAAGAGAAACGCTGGTATGTTTCTTCACAACTTTTTTTTCCTAAAAAAATCTTGAACTCCATGTTTGAGCCCGGTTTGATGTATTTGTTTCTGGTTCAAAGATAATTCATCCAAAAGGACAACCACCTTCGTTAAATTTCCTATGCCGCCACACAACACAGAGATGTGTTTTGAGTCGTGCGTCCTTGCCTTTGTTTTTGTTTTGTCATGTTGTCGGTGTCTATTTTTTTGTCGGATGGCCGCTGAATTCTCTGTTGATTTTGGGAGATTCTTGTGGTAGGCCCTGACTAGCAACCCCCAGCTCTGAATCAGGTGTGAGTTGCACTGGAAGAAAGACATCCCCACCAAAAATGGGCTCCCCCCAATTGCAGGTTGGGGGTGCCAATCAAATGTCAGCATTATGTGTTCTAGTTGTTGCTTTGCTTGTTATGCCTGGAGTCTTCATGACAGAGCCAGAATCAATCTCGAGCAATTGGAGGGAAGGGGACATGTGTGAGGCTTGTGTTTCATTGCGGATTTCAGTCCCAACTTTTTGATCAGCCAGCTGTTGAAGAGTATTTGAGGGACTGGGACAGTTCCATACAAGTCAGGTAGGCCCTTTTCGGATTTGAGTCCCGATTTGATCAGCCATGGTGGAGGGATTTTCCTGATGTTTGCCAGCTTTTGAGTGGATCTTCCATGGTCTTCCATGGTAGACTCCGTTTTGGCTGGTTCACTCGACATCTTCCCTTTTTGGACCAGGAAAGGAGCTGCGCCTCTCCGAGGAAGCGCTGCCGGCAGCGGTGCTGTTTGACCTGGACATGACGTTTGGCGGAAATGAACTTGACTGCGATTGGGTTGGATCTTTAGACTTTAACTTTTCGGGAAAGCAAGTTGGGCTTTCCACTACACCCCCCAAAAAGTTAAGCACTGTTTGCAGCGGGGGTCAACAGCAACCAAGTAAACATCTGCTTTGGTGCGGTGTGCGGCTTTTGGATCAGGGGAAGGGGAAGTTTGGTGGATTGGGGTGCTCCATTCTGAGGTGTTTTCCTTGGTGCATTTTGCCAAGGGATGTCAGGGCTTCAACTCTTTGCCAACAAATGGGTTTTCCGAATTGAACCACTAAAAGTGGAGCAGAAAGCAACCGAGAAACGTCTCCTTTTGGAAGAAGCCAACCTGAAGTGAGTGTCCTTCTTTGACTTTTTGATGCTCTACGAAATGTAGGGAGTCTGAGCCGAGCTTCGGATACCTATGTTTGACCCACAGCCACATGTGCGACTGAACAAGCCAGTCGTTTGAGCCAGTGAGGACCTGCTGGCCCTTCACGTTGGGCACGGAGAGTCGAGGTCCCCCCTTCATCACGTTGCCGGAGGCGGGGATGGGTCGAAAACTGGAAAGCGAGCCGCGCTTGGGGGTTGGTTGGTTGGTTGGTTGGTTGGTTGGTTGGTTGGTTGGTTGGTTGGTTGGTTGGTTGGTTGGTTGGTTGGTTGGTTGGTTGGTTGGTTGGTTGATTGGTTGATTGGTTGATTGGTTGATTGGTTGATTGGTTGATTGGTTGGTGGCATGTTGGCATATGGGTATCTTGGTCTGTTGGTATGCTGATTCGTTGCTTGGTTGGCTGGTCGGCCGTGATGCGGTCGTTCAGGAGGCCCGGGTTTTCGGGCTGAAGGCCCCATAAGATCTGAGCTGTTGGGCTTTTGGCCTTCCCGACGTTTTTCAGCTTTCCGTTTTGTGGGAAACAGGTGGGCACGGAATGGGTGAATGGGTAGCTGAATACGTAGGGATTCAAAGAATTCTTGGTTCAGCAACACAGCGCCCCTTCGGCCTGGTAACATAGATTCGTGTCTCCATATGTACAAGCATACATACGCCCCTGTTCATTCTACATATAGAGGTGAATCCCGTTGCAGGCGGTTGACGGAACCATTGGAGCCTACTTTCCCTTTCGCCTAGTTGGGTTGACTTTCATGCTGCTGAACTGCAGCAGCCTTACACTTTTACGGTCTTTAACAAACATGTGTTTGTGTGTGTGTGACAGAAAGTGATTGTCTTCCAAAACAATAGCAGCCAAGCGACCGACCAAGCAAACAAGCGACCAAGCGACCAAGCAACCACCCCCCCTTTCCCATGTTGTGGTTTTGTCTCACTTCAACGCCTCACTCAGGTGGGCGCAGCTGCAGACAGTGTGGGCCGGCGCCTACGTCTGTGCAAGGCCGCGCCAACGAATGAAACCCAGAGAGAGTTTGCCTGCCCGTGTTCTCTCTAGGGCCCTAGGGACGTGCAGGGTTCTCTTCATACCTTCTAGTTAGTTCAGAAGAAGAAGAAGAAAAAGAGAACCGCAGATGGAAGTGCGAGTCTTCTTCTCCTGCCTCCTACTTGGAAGAACCAACGGCTGATTATGTGTTATTGATTTTTTCCAACAAAACCTGAACCATTCATTTTCAGCAGAAAGCCGCCTGGGCTTCGCCCCTCCTTCGACCAAATTTCCGGTAGTGGAAACCATCAGGGGAACGCAGAGAATCTCATGTCCGCTTGGGAAACAAATGATCAGCGCACGAAACCCCAAACGGGCCGTTCTAGTAGGTTCTGCTTGGGTTAATAGGGTATATTAAGGCCCATACACTCACAACTGCGTTGGAGCCAGAAACCCGCGCTGGCATAAGTTGACCGGGGTCAACATGGGCAAACCTCAGGTGGTCTCCCTTTCGTTTCCCTTTCGTTTCCCTTTAAGGTGGGTCTCCCTTTAAGCGGAGCCCAAGTCGGCCCTACGTCGGCTCCCGTCTCATTCGAGGACGGGGTTCATGTGTCAAAATGGGCAACCCTCAGGTGGTTTCCCTTTCGTCTCCCTTCAAGCCGACCCCAAAACGGCCCTAAGAACTCCCATATTCGATGAGAGGACATCCCGGAGATCTTTCGCACGCTGAAAGAGGCGGAGATCCCCATCGTCCTTTGCAGCCGCTCCAACGTGCCCAACTGGTGCCGGGAGTTCATGGCAGCGTGCCGGAGCCAAGCCAAGACCTCCGAGGAGCTTCTGCGCCCAAATGCTTGGGGGGCGGCCTTTGGATGGAGAAAACCAGCGAAATGTGCGGTTTGAGCAGCTATGTTTTTACTTGTTGTTTGTTTTGTTCAAGATGTTTCGCCACGACCTTAGTTGGAACTCTGGGTGTTTTCTGTTTTCCAAGACCGGGAGATGCCAGTAGCAGTTTGTGGTCAAACAAGCAATTTCCTGGGACAAGCTAGATGCGGTACTTGGTGGCCAGCATACATATTGGGGGAAAGTGGACTCTTCATGTTTGTTCGAGCCTACCTTGTAGGAGTAAATGGAACTGGTATGCCCGTCTTGCCCACGCAACATGTTTCAAGCTCTGTCTATGCTTACCAATATTCCTCGTGGTTGGGCAATGTCGACCTTGGCTTAATCATTCTTCTGGATGAAATATGTTTTCTTTTCAAGGAAACACATACACATAATTCAACCCAGGCTGTTTTTCACCGGCTTCCGCTTAGAAATTTGGATGAGCAGAGCTTTGATACACCCTCTAAGTGGTTCTATGGCTACCTCCATTGTCCCTTGCCCTTGGCATCTGTGGACATCGAATCGTCAGGAGGGTGAGGAAGCCGAGAGCGGCGCGAGCGGCGCGAGCGGCGCGAGCGGCAGCTCTTCTTCGGGCAAGGTGGGGGACATGCTGCACGCGGCCTCGGTGATTCGGCCTGGGATCAAGAAGCTGGGCCACTTGAAAGAGCGACTCGGCTGCCACTAATGTTGACCCAGGATGAGTAGGGCGTTCCCTCCAAAAGTGGTCTGAATCCCCACTAAAACGAATTGGACACCCCCCGATGAAAATCCACCAGGGCTTTATTAATCCGGGGTTGACAGTAAACGGTTCATGGTTCAGGCTTTCGGAGTCCTTTGGTTGCAACGGTCTCGAGTCTTGACGCAAGTCCTTGGAGTTTGGTGGGCCTGTCAGCTTATTGTTGGGAATGGTGGCGATGGTTTTGAGAAAGTGTTTGGCTTCGATGGGTTTTTTGAAACAGGCAATGTGTGTGTGTGTGTGCGCACTTGAAAGAGCTCGGCAATATATATATATATATATATGGTCCCTAGTTTGGTGAGTTTGACCTGTGTTTTTTATGCCTGTTGTTGCTTCTTGGATTTGTGTCAAAATTAGGGGGGGTCATACGTATATATGATACGCATGCATGCATACAGATGTGATAAAGTCAATGATATCAGCATCTGCAATCTGAAAGAGTTTGAATGCATCCAAGAGTACAAAAGCAACTCAGAGTTGTTTTTTTATTTTTATTTAAAGCATATATGGGATTCAAGATTCAAGAATCTGAGAAAATATGTTCTGGGAATCTTGAATCTTGAGTCCCATAATTTTTAAAAACTTTAAACAAATGGATTCAAGATTCAAGATTCAAGTATCTGAGAACACATTTTCTGGGAATCTTGAATATTGAATCCCAGAATTCTTAAAAATAAATAAATTTTTTAAAAAAAAAACAGGGTTGTCCCAATACTCTCGGTGTTCAATAAGATTCTCGGAAAAAAAATCCGTGAGATATGTCAATGTCAAATCTTCAAGCCAGTGGTAAAATACGTTCGAGGTGATAGAACAACTTGAAAATTTTAGGAGTTGACCAGGATGGATGATTCTCAGGAAAGTGGTTGTTTGTGCACTCCTTCAATTTTGAATCCTCAATCCAGTGGTAAAGCACTTAAGTGTCAGAAGAACTTGAATGTTATTTGGCTTTGGCCAGGATTGACAATTCTCAGGAAAGTTTTCTGCGCAATCTTCAATCTTGAATCTTCCGTCCGGTGGTACAATATTTTCAAGTGCTTAGCGATCCAGTGGACACACTTTCAAGTTATTGGTTAGACACACTTTCAAGTGCTTTTGGTGAGCTTCATGTCAGCTATGCTCATGTTGACCCCTTCCAGGACATACACAAAGGTAGGTGTAATGTTCAACAACAGTGTATTTTCCAGTATTTTATGAGGAGGCGCAGGATCGTATGTGTATATATATAGGTATACATATGTATGTACGTTCACACACAGTCACCCCCCCCTCTTGAACTGCCTGTCCACATTTGCTCATCTACTACCTCCACCTTTTGAGATAGAATGAATTTGTTTCTTGTGCAAATAGAACTTCAAATGCAACTGGTTTTGCTAGAATCCCTGTTTCGAGATAGTTTTAGATGTTGAACCTCTCTTCCCTTGAAATTTCCCTTTGGAACACCGTCTAACAAGTTCAATGTCGGACCTTTCTTACGCTACAAAAGGGCCAGAATGTAAATAACACATATCGTATTTTGAATTTCCTGGTAGAAGTTCCTTAAATGTTTAGCCATATTTAATATGAATTATATTTGAGAAGTAGTCTCTATTTACTCGCTAGTATCAAAAGCTAATTGAGTTGTGTTCGTATTAGATTATATTTAACACTTGGATCATACTTGGGAAACAACTTCCATCTAACTTCTTTTGTTATAGATTAGTTGGAGTTTGCCCGAAAATATATTCACATTTTTATGTAGCTCCTGTTTGGAAAGGATTTGCTTATTTAAGCTCTAATTGAACATAAACAAATGTTTGAAAACTATATCCTTACTAAACTATATTCAAAATTCCATTTCTAGTTGAAGTAAAATCCTATAATGGACATTTCGAGAATATATATTTTGAGATTCTAGATTTGCCATCCCCAAAAGGCAGTAAAACCAGGGTCCATGCAAGGGTAGCATATATATATATATATAACTATTTTTATATTTCGCAGCATCGAGAAGAAAACAAATGTTGGTTTCGTTTCGTTTGGGCTTTCCAATTTGGATGATGCTACATACACAATGTGATTACATGAACGATTCTGACATGTTGACCTACTACATGTACTATACTTATGGCACGCATTATGTTGATACCTACAGTCTACACATGTTTGTTTAGAAATCGAACTTGAAACTTAGCTTGTTTGCGTCTTTGTGATTGTTACCACCTTTGAACCATTGAGCATGTCATTGGCTTGAGTGGATGCAAGCCTACCTCCTGGCCTCAAAGAGTTTTTTAGGATCCGCGCGGCTTTGGACGTGCCCTTCCATCGGCTGCTGTTCTTCGATGACGACCAGCGCAACTGCGACGACGGGAAGCTGTTGGGTGTAAGGCAGGGTTGGTGAACCACCCGGCCTGGAGTCCCTTACTTTACGTGGTTTTGTGTTTGAAACAACTATTCATGAAGAGTGCATTTATGTGCATTTGCAGCAGACCCTAGCCTCTTTTTCAGGGAAACTTACAGAGGTTCTATGAACAATCGCGGCTTCATGTGGTTTCATTTGTTCCAGCAAAGGGTTGGCCCCAGGTGTGTGAAGGTTCCACGGAATGGTGCCGGCGTCACCATGGACATTTTCACCGAGGGCCTGCGCACGTTTTCGCAAGCCGCAAAGGTGCCGAACAAAAATCTGGGCCAGACGCTTCCTGATCTCAAAGATTGGCGCATGGGTCACTTGCCGAGCTTGGTGAATCCAAGCACTGGCGGAGGGTAGAGGGTAGCTTGGGCGCTTGCTTCTCGCCGGATTTGAAGCCCTTGCCCAAAAGGGGCACCAAAGAGCAACTGACAATATTGCACTTGGCCAGCGCCAAAGAGTTGTGAAGGAAAAGTCCCAAGTGAAAACCACCCGATCTTGCCGCTTTTTTTTGTTTTCTTGCGGGAGTGAGTTGACGCAATGCCCGGATTGTCAGTTGAAGTGAAACCTGGTCGGCTCTTTGGGATAGCCACAGTTGGCCAGCAGTTGGCCACCCTGCGAAGCAGGGTGCCCTTTCAGCGCTCTTCAAATTTCTTCGCCTGCTGGGTGCGTACAATCCATTTGGATGCTTCCGAGAAAGGACATTAAAAGGGGATGGTGGTGTTTCTGATTTCCCCAGACCCTCGGTTTTTACGCCATAACCCGCAATGTAGGCACGAATGAGCTCCTTTCTCGCTTTTCTTTCCCCAGCCCAACCAGAAAACCCAAAAGAGAAAACACTCGGTAAAAGATGACCTTTTCCATTGGTTCAAAAGAAAGCAAACACAATGGAGTCTTCAGGTAGATTGTAAGCACCCCTGCTTTTTTTGCGTGAAAGGCGTGAAGTTGCTGAGTTTGCGCAATTCGGTTTGGGTTGCCTGTGTTTGGAGCATCGCTCCACAAGCTGAATTTCAGCGGGAGTTGCTAGGTGTGTTTGTCACAGAGTTCGTGGGCCAAGAGCCCAGTTGGCGCGAAAAGATATGGCTGTGGGTCAAAAGCAATGGTACCATTTTGGGCTAGGTGCATCACCCATTTTAGTCTATTCTAGTGGGAATTGGGATGTTCACTGGGTGCATGGCATATGCTGCCAGCCGATGCACATCGCGTTCAGGCACTGAAGCTCTGGGTTGCTTGTCTCCGTGTGGCATGTGGGTAGGTTTATTGGAGCTGTGGAAGCAAATGCCGTAGGAGAATGCAGATAAGAGCGGGCTAATGCATGAGAAGTGAAACTTGGTGCACAAGATGCATTACCTAGCTCAGACATACATGGCTCCGGCTATAGGCAGACAATGACAACTGTGCAGTTTGATGTCATCTACCTCGAAGGATAATGTCAATGTCTAATGACAGTGCACGTTCGACAAATCGAAATTTACATGTCCATATATAATATACATACATATATTTATATTATGCATAGATTGGAGATGGATGTGTGAGAACAAACTATGATTACAAGTTGGATGTTGCTTGTGACTTCGTATTTAGAAGAGTGGACGCAAATTTGACCAAACGCTGCGTGCATGATAGGAGGTATATGTTTTTTGTTGAGCGTGACACCCTTGCACATAGGACTGATTTGCCCACAACTTCAGAGCCTTGTATCCTGCATTGATTTCGTTTTCCTGGCAAGTGACCGATTGCGCACTGGCCCTCTTAGCAGAAAGGAAAATGGCTGGGCAAACGCTTGTGTAGGAGTGGCCTTGCCACATTTTACCTCATGCGCCAACTTGCGGCAGCTAAGCATTGCGAAACATGGGCACTTCAAACTCATGCTGCTCCCTGGTGCTTGGTTCCTGGCTCGAGCTTAGAAGGTCCCTCTGTGCCATCGGAGTGGGAGATGAACGTGACGCCCTGAGATGGACGTGCCATTTGCCGGAGATGCCTTCGGCGTTTTCCTCGGGGATATGGCTGTGGGTCAAAATAATAACACCATTTTGGGGTAGGTGCACCACCCATTTTATTCCAGTTTAGTGGGGATTGGGATGTTCACTGGGGGTACGATTTGGCTTTTGACCCATGGCCATATTTCCATGGTTGCCCTACCATCCACCTGGTCCCCAAAGTTGAAGGAGTACACGAGTCTCGTGCGCGAAACGCGATGGATTTGTCCCGGGTTTCAAGCCTCCACGGAGAAGGTGTCCAGTCCAATCACAATTCCTTGAGCCTTTTGGCAGATCGTTTCCAGGGGTTGCCTTTGCCAATCCCATTCGTGGAGAAGCATAGAGGTGCTCCCTTGGAGCTGATTGCCACGTTTCCCCACCCCGCACCCTCCGGGCGTTTGTCAGGGGAGCCGTTCAACGTGTTGTAATCAGCGGGTTTCGAACGCAGAGCACAATCACGTTTGTAGCAACAATTTCGGAACCGCTTTAGACTTGCTGGTGCCAAGCAGGGAATTAGTTGGAATGACCTTCAAAAAGCTTTCCCTTGTGGTTTCCTTTGAGACCGCTGGGTTCATTCCCAAGACCCCCCGACTGAGCACCAAGTAGAGATACGGGTTTGCGCGCAGGCGGGCTCCAGGAGATCTGGCTTGCTGGTCGGGGCCTCTCACAGGGGTTGGTTTCCCGAAAACGGGTTTCGGACCTTTCAGGGCCAATGGAGGGGTGGAGTGACTGGGGACGAGCCAGTGTTAAACCACCATCTTTCTCGCGCAAGATGTGCATGTGTCCAGTTTGTGGGTGAAGCAGGGCCCGTGCTACCTACAGCAGATGGGAGGCGCCCGGTGGTTTCCAACCGGAAAGCCAGAGAACTCTGATGACACACGTCTTTTAGTCTTTGCTTCAACGAAACATGGGAGTGTCCGGGTGTTTCCATGTGTCTTGCAGTTTATCAACTAGAATTTTGAAACTATAGGTTTGTCAACTATAGTTTTATCCACGATGTTTTTGGTGCATTTTGCTTGGATGTTAGGACTTTAGCTTTTTGCCAACTAATGGGTTTGCCAGTTAACCACTAAAAGTTATTCACTTTCAGCAGGGGAGCAGAAAGCAACCGAGATGTTTTGTGCTCAGATGGTTTCCAACTTGATCAACTGAGGCCGTGTCCTTGGTGGCCGCTGTCACCCTGCGCCGAGGAGTGCTCGAGACTCGATGGAGAGGTCTGGTGAAAGAGACGTCCAGTCCGCTCATGTGGCTGTGGGTCAAAAATAGGTCACAAATGGAACCCTGTTAAATGGAAAGAAGGACTAAAACCTGCGGTCCCCCTGGCGGTTTAATTTTGGCCCGTACCCTTGTGTCAAAGTAGGGGACCGCAACCTGGGTGGTGTTCCGGTGTTCCTACTGGTTTCTCTTGAAACCAAGCAGCAACGTACGTAATGGAGGTCCAAACAAAATTGGTTCGGGGTTGCAAAGTGTTGGAAAAACAGGGTCCATGACCTTTCAGGGCAAGTAGACAATGACACCATGGATAGTAAGAGAGCCCAGCCATGCCTTTACACTTATGCCGTACAAAGAAGCCGCAGCTTTTGTTGACCCCTTTCGTTTGTTGGAACAAACGGATCAGATCTCCAAGGGTAGAATCCCTGTAGGTTTCCCACAGGGTCCAAAGGCGTTTTCTCCACCTGGCAGCTCAGCCGCGCGAATTTTTGCAGCCACTGGGTGGCTGCAGCACAAGGTGCTCGGAGCGGCTTGGGCTCAGAGCCCTCCCACTGGGTGCTTTCAATGAAATAGTTGCTCGCCCCCCCCCCCAGTTCCTGACATGTCCCCCTTTGGTGTGGCTTGAACCATCACCCGGGTTGCCAACTGTTGTGCCATGCAAATTGAATGCTGATGTTGCTAGGTTGGAGGAGAAGCCGACGATTCATTGGCCCAGCCCCCTTCACAGTTTCGCCCAGGTCTGTTTGATCAATGGTTCAATCGTCCTGGGGTTGAATGGCTTTGCTACACGTCTGATACCCGACGGCTTCTGTCACTTGTTTGTCCTGTTGCTTGGCACCTTTTACTTGTGCCCTTCAGTGTTACCGATTTTGAGGGAGGCCTAGCGCCAGGATCGGCCTTCCTGGCAGCCCAAGCCTCTGCGCGGGAGGCCAAAGGGACCTTTAGATGGATGTGTGTTTGTGTTTGTGTTTCTGTGTCAAAATAGGCCCAATCTGAAACAACTAGCCCCATTTCGGAGGCACAGAAAAGAATATCCCACCAAGACAAAGGCTCGGAGCAAGCTCTGTCCATTTGCCCATTGCACCAAAGGCTCGGAGCAACCTCGTCTATTTGCCGATTGCACCTCCCATCACCTCCCCCTATTAGGGTGTGTGTCTTTCTTGGTACTCTTTTGGAGGGGTGGCGTCTTGATGCCATGGGATCACCAAACCTGTGGGGTGCCCTTGCAAGAGGCTTCCGAGCTGCGAGCAGACGGCCTAGAGCAAATCGTTTCTGCATGTTAGCTGGACAGAATTCTGGGGGTTTTCTAACAATTACTAGCTTTGGTGCTTTGCAAACCAAAGCTTCTTGGTCGGATTGAGTTGCTGGAATCCTATGTTGCACAGCCCTTGTGGGGCATCCATGTTTCTGGCGCGGAGGCGCCAGCATTTTTTGGACCCGCCAGGTGGCACCCTTGGGCTTCCGCAAAGCCGGAACGCTCAGCCCCTGCACCGGGGATGGGGCAGAGCCACCTGTTGGCTGACTGGTACCCGAAATGGAAGTTTCAATCCATTCATGGTGCCTTCTTTGGTTTTGATGCGACAGAACTTGGGTCATGAGAAGAGTCAAGCGGGGCGTTTCGGTCGATGGGCGAATGTGAGACACTTCCATGCATCACGTTCAAGGTCCGCTTGCACAAAGGGGTGTACTTGAGGAGTCATGGAGGATACGCGGCAGCACCCTCCGACTGCCTGTTTGACAGGGGGCCCATGAAAAACATGGTTTTCTCTGGCCTTTGGACTTCAGTAAGGAACCCAGAACCCCCCGAATTGCCTTGGACCAATTGGATTGCTGGGGGTTGGAAGCTCTACTTCTTGCATAGGGAAAATGGGGTAAATGGGAAACCACCCAATAATCCTGTCCAAACACCTGACGTTGGCTCCGTAAGCGGCCAATGGAGCCCCGGTCCGCTGCCGTCGTTTGAAAGACAGGATGGGCCCCACAACTCTTCCCCAGATCAGCATCAGGAAGCAGCTGGTGTTGCTGGTCTTCAGCTTGTAGTCCAGGCTCTGCAAGGAGATGAGGAGCTCCATACAAGCTACTGCTTGTTCCCAAACCTCTCCGAGCGTCGGGGGTTTGAAGATGAGAAACGGTAATCTTGATTTCCTGGCAAGGACTTCGTGGACTCCGAAAGAGTTTCGTTTTGGTTTCTGAACAACAAGGTCTTTGTGTGTCAAAATAGGGGAACCTCCCCCATATGGTGGTTTTCCTTTTGGTATCCCTCTCAACCATTG